GGGATTCTGGCAAGTTTCCCAGAGGGAGTGCCTCCGTCGGGAACGGGTTGTTGGAGACTGGCGGTGCAGGATGCGCTCCCGTAACTTCTACAGGCGTCGGTAAACACGGAGTAACTTGAGGTGGTTGAGGCTCAACAACATCGGCCCAACGTCGCCTCAGTTGGTTGATGTGTCGCCGCCACACTCGGCCATCGGCGAGTAGGACCCTATAAGAATAGGGCCCGGTTAGTTCTATGATTCGCCCCGGGAGCCACCTGACCGTGGAGTCAAAATTCAAGGCGAAGACTTGATCACCCACAGCAAATAAACGAGTCTGACCTTTGCTCCCCGTGTGTGTCTCTTTTGTGTAACTCGGATGTAGGCGATCCAGGGTGATGCGGAGTCGCCGACCCATCAGCAACTCGGCGGGGCTGTGCTTGGTAGAGGCAGTCGGAGTTGTGTGTTGTGCCAACAGATATTGGAATACTCTCTGGTGCCAATTTGCTGGCCCTAGACGACGTAATGCCTCCTTAGCGGACCTCACGGCCCTTTCCGCCAACCCGTTCGCCGCCGGATGGCAAGGTGCCGTACGGGCATGGCGGATGCCCCACTTAGCGAGAAACAGCTGGAAGGGTGCAGACGTGAACTGCGGACCGTTGTCAGTAACTATGGTATCGGGCAACCCATGAGTGGCAAAGAGACCCTCTAAAGCCCTCGTGACAGCATCCGTGGTAGTGGATGACATGATGGTAAGGTCCACCCACTTAGAGTACGCATCAACCGTGACCAAGAACGTGCGGCCAAAAAAAGGGCCCGCAAGATCCAGTTGCAGTCTTGTCCAGGGACCCCTGGGCGTTTCCCATTCCTGGATTGGGGCCGCGGGGGGGGGGGCAGGCCGTGACTGTTGACATTGGGGGCAACGGGCCACCCACTCCTCTATGTCTTGATCAATCCTTGGCCACCAAACATAACTACGGCCCAATCCTTTCATCCGTACGATGCCCGGGTGGGCATCGTGGAGGCAGGCTAGAACTTGAGGTCGGAGCATGGGGGGAACAACTACCCTGTTTCCCCACAGGAGGCACCCTGACAGCACGGACAACTCGTGTCGTCTGCGCACATATGGCAAGAATTCGGCTGCCGGGGAAGCCGCAGGCCAGCCCCTGCGCACCCAGTCAAGTACGAGGGAAAGAGTGGGGTCAGCGGCTGACTGGGACTGAATGTCAGCTGCGGTCACTAAGGGAGACATCTCGTCCACCAGGAGGACGGATGATGTTGGGGCAGGGTCCTGGACAATCAAAGGAAGGGGACAACGGCTAAGGGCGTCCGCATGCCCAATCGCCTTCCCCGGCCTATACTGCAATTCGTAAGAATAAGCAGACAAAAACTCTACCCACCGTAACATGCGCGGCGAGAGGACAAGGGGGGTTTGGCGGTCAGCCGCCAGTAATCCCAATAATGGCTTATGGTCAGTGACAAGGTAAAAAAAACGACCATAAAGGTAATCATGGAACCGTTTGATCCCCGCTACGGCAGCTAAAGCCTCCTGGTCAATCTGACTATAGTTACGCTCCGCAGGTGACAAGGTGAGGGAATAGTAGGCAATGGGGGCTTCCGCCCCATTGGGTAACAGGTGACTCAAGACAGCCCCCACCCCATACGGGGAAGCGTCACAGGTCAGAGCGAGAGGCAGACCTGCATCATATTGGACCAAAACGGCATCGGACGTGAGGACGTCCTTAACAGCTTTGAATGAGGCCGCCGCCTTTTTATCCCAACACCAGGGGGATTTAGCATCCAATAGACGGTGGAGGGGTTCGGCAAGTGAGGCCTTGTGCGGCAAGAACACCGCGTAAAAGTTAAGAAGGCCGAGGAAAGCCTGCAGCTCGGCCCGATTAGCGGGCGTGGGGGCTTCCTTGATCGCTTTGATTTTGGATGGGGCGGGGCGGATCCCAGCAGAATCAATCAAAAACCCTAAAAATTCCACTTGGGGAACTGCCATTCGACACTTATCAGCCCGAAGTTTCAGTCCCGCAGCTCTGAAACGAGTGAGGACAGCCCTTACCTTCGTGACGAGGTCCTCCTGATCCGCGGCCGCGATCAGGACGTCGTCGAAATAGGGAACGACTCCTTGAAGCCCATGGAGCAGCCGCTCCATCAAGCTCTGAAAAATTCCTGGGGCAACACTGACCCCAAACTGAAGGCGGGTACACTTAAACGCCCCCCTGTGGGTTACTATGGTTTGGGCCAGGGCAGTATCCTCGTCGACGGGAAGCTGTTGGTAAGCTTGGGCGAGATCAAGCTTCGCGAAGACCTTGCCCTGGCCCAGTGAATGAAGTAAGTGTTGGACCACGGGAACGGGGTAATGGTTAGCCTGAAGCGCCCTGTTAAGTGTCGCCTTGTAATCAGCGCAGATCCTAAGGGATCCGTCTGATTTTAAAGGAATAACTATGGGGGTCTCCCACCTTGAGTGTTCCACCGGTACAAGGATTCCCTGCGCTATCAATTTGTCCAATTCCCGGTCCACCCTGGTCCGCAGTGCAAGTGGCACCCTTCGTGGTTTCAGCCGCCTAGGGGCCACATGGGGGTCCAGATTGAACGAAATGGGAAGCCCTGTATATTTACCGAGTTGGCCGTCGAACACATCTGCGAACTCGCGAGTCAGCTCAGTGGAGATGTCATAGCAGGTAGAGTGAACTCCGGAGACACTCAGGTGTAAGGCATCAAACCAGTCTAATCCCAATAGACTGGGAAGGCGGTCTCGCACGACGATCAGAGGCAGGCGACCTGAAAAAGAGCCATAAACAACACGGAACGAGCAACAACCTAATGTGGGGATAAGCTTCCCCTGGTAATCTTTAAGTTTAATAGGGCAGGCCTTGAGACGTCGTTGGGAGAATGTTGGGAGCAATGCCTTAAGGGTGGACCAAGAAATAAGGGAACGGGAGGAGCCCGTGTCCAGCTCCATACGACATGGCGAACCCTCCAGCTGGACCGTGAGATGGATTTTGCTCGTTGTCCCTTGCGAAGAGGCGTGGCTGACGCCCACTGCATCGACCTCTGCATCTCGCTCCTCTTCCACACAATTACCCCGGCGCTCGAATCGTTTGGCTTTCAGGCGCTTGGACGTAGGCTCCCCCGTGTCGTCAGGGAGTGGAAAAACAGCCCGACAAACCCTGGAAAGGTGACCACGTTTGCCGCACCGGCGGCAAACAGCAGACTTGAAACGGCACTCTGCCTGGTTATGCTGGCCGCCGCACCCAAGGCATCCGCTCTGAGGAGGCTTGCCAGCGGAAGGCGCTCGTTTCTTCCGGCCCGTCTTTAGGCGGCACACTTCCCCTTCAGGCTCAGAAACGTCGTCCAAGTCAGAGCCCTCATAGTGGACGGACTGCGTGGTAGCAGACGGAGCCCCCAACCCTCCAGCCTGCGCGCGCTGAATGTCTGCAGACGATTGGGCGGACATTTCCGACGCTCTGGCTTCATCCATGGCGATGGGGAGGGTTAGGTCTGAGCGAGCTAGAAGTCTACGTTGCAGCTTTAAATCACGCACCCCGCAAACCAGTTGGTCTAGGAGCATATCATCAAGCTCCCTAAATTCACAGTGGAGAGCTGCCGTGCGCAGGGAAGCCATATACGCGCTGACAGACTCCCCTGCCTTTTGCGATCGCTGATAAAAAGCATGCCGCCGGGCTATTTTGGAGGGGGCGGGGGCGTAGTGCTGTTTTAGCTTGTCCAATAGTATCTCCCAGGGCACGGTGAATACAGGTTGAGGCGCGGCCAGGGCTCTGGCGGTGGCAAATATTTCACGCCCGCAGGAGCTTAAAAAGTACCCTCTCTTCCTGGCCGGGGGAAGATCGGCCAGGTCGTTTGCCTGTAAGACGCATTCAAACCGTTCAATGTATTCGTCCCACGTCTCTGTTGCTGCCTCGAACGGCGTGAAAGTAGGAAGAGGAACAGCCATCACGGTATTGACAATCACCGTGGCGCCCCTCAGCTGGCCTCAGTTCCGGCGAGGGTTCTTCAAGCCGATCCCACCTTCATCGCCAGTTGTTAAGTTCGTGAAGGAGACACTGAGGCCAGGCTGCTGAACAGGTAACTTTATTAAACAGACTCAACAAGCAAACGGAACCAACTCGCCCCGCCTGACAGCTGCTTAAATACCCAAGCTGTCAGACGGTCTGACCAATCCTGAATCAGGCAGCATCCCGCCTAAACAGTTGCTGTGCGCCTCCACCAATCCGAGCCCGCTGATGACGGAGCCGGCGTGGGGCGTATCTACCCGCGAGGACTCAACAGAGGAGATAGTTCAAATTCTTCCTAGTGTTTCCTTCACTGGTTTTGCTTTCCAATACTGAAGATAGAATTATTGCTGTTGACACCCACATCAGCAACTAGCCCTTAGTCAGGGGTATTGCAAAGCTGACTGTCTGAGCAGCCAGGAAGCCATGGCAGATTGGGATCAAAGTGCCATATATTTTCACTTCAGGAAAGGACATCCCAGGGGATGGCTTGCCTCTTCCTATTTCTCCAGCATTTTCACTCAAGATGTGAAGGTTTGATTAGAAGAGGCACCGTACTTTGCTAATGGGGTGCTAATTCTTTGTGTTATTCAGAAATTTTTAATGGGGAACACTTTGGATTTTAGTTTTTTCTTGAGTCTTGATTTTATTTATTATTGTTAATTGTATGCGGCTTCCCATTAAACACACACCCACACCCACACATACTCTTGAAGCAGCTTCAAATCAATATGAAAGAACCATGTTGGAAAAAAAGTTGAGAAAGTTTTTACAATGTTATGTACTACCCCTTGTTTTCTACTTTTTAAAAGAAGTATACAAAGGAGCTGCACTACTTTTTAAACACTTGGTAGTTTATTAGGACTCAGTGTGGAAAGTGGGAAGTAGTTTATTTTAATTTCTAGATCTGGAGAGGGGTGGAGCATGGAGTCAATTATGATTCACCTGCTTGCCTTCCTAAACTGGTTCAAAGTTTTAGTTATGCTGTAGGGATGGTTGGCAATGTCAGATTCTATTACTAAAGCACCACCCGTGACATTTGAAGTGTATGTGCCAGCAATACATATGAATCCATCAGTATTTATTTGTCAGGTAAGAATTTTTTTTTCATGTCAACTAGCACATTTTATTTTCTGAACAGAGCACTTTTTAATGTTTGGACTGGGTAAATTTGTGGTCGAATAAGGTGCATTGCAAAAGCAAATTAACTATTATTGTGCTTCACAACCTTGGATTTTACAGAAGGAAGGTAAGAAGCACACAGATTCTTGACTTTTAAAAAGTTAAATATATCAGAGTCTGCAATTTTCATATGAGGATGGTATCTGGCAGGAATTCCAATGAGGACCACTACTGATAATAATCTATTATTCTATTGGTTTAAACTAATACATGGTTAATTATTTGAAATGATTTACTTATTAGATCCTGAAGCTTCTTTCCCCCCCTACTTCCCAGGACTTCCAAATTAAAATAAACCAATATGAAAATGAAGAAATGAAAAGAAACTCTCATGGAACTGAAATTCCATATAGGACTGAATGTCAGGTAGTACGTAATACAAGGCATATTGTTGTTAACAGGAGAGATGAACGAATAACTAATTATGCTACTCTAGATTTACCATTATGTCTTAATGTACCTCTCAAGAGATTTTAAATGTATGCATATTTATTAAGACCTAGGAATTGTATTTCTGAGTAATTTCTCAGAGTGCAGCTTGGATCTAACATTTTTATTCTGCCACTGCGAATTTCTCTGTGCAGAAATAAGACGAAAATATATTGGGGAGAAAAGGGCAGAAGGTCAAAACATCATAATCATTCATTCTCCCCCATCCCTTTGAAGCTCCAGTATGCAATTCTTTAGACTGGATTTTGAGGAAGATGACAGGATGACAATTAGCTCTTCTTCCATTCTACTAGTAAATCAAAAACAAAGATTTTCCTCCTTAGAATTTCACAAAGACCTTTCCAGACCTAAAATTATTCTCAGTGAACATGAAGAAGGGGGAACACTGCTATTCAACATCTTGAATCTTCCTATGTGCGTGTAACCTAAGCGGATATAAGGCACTTTACCCATTAAAAGTGGCATTTTAATATTAGTGTATTCAAATAGAATTAAGAAGACTTATGCCTGCGATTGGAGAGCTGTTTCCTGTCAATATAGTTTAGGTTCTCATGGAAATTTGCCAAAAATTGACATCTTGAGCATACTAACATAGCTTATATATAGGCCATGTACACTAGTTTCTCTGCATATTCCATGTATAAACTTAAGACGAAGGGCAGTGATAAATGCTATTAAAGTTATTTATGTCATTATTTGGGAAATCTTTAGGTGGAAACACCATCTGATAAAGAAAACACAAGAAGAGATGAATGTAATAGAACAGAGAGCCATTTTTGCGATGAAGCTTCATTGTGGGTCAGTATAATTCTTGAAAGTATTAAAAGATTTTCTGGTAACATTAAGAAAATTTAGTTTTCCCCATAGGACAATGGTAAATCCTATTAAAGTTATTTATGTCATTATTTGGGAAATTTTTAGGCTGAAACACAATCAGATAAAGAAAATATAGGAAATGTTGAACATGACAGAAGGGAGAGCCATCCTTTTGATCAAGCTTCATTGCAGGTTGGTATAATCCTTGAACGTATTATAAAAAGATTTTCTGGTAATATTAAGAATGTTTAGTTCTCCCCCATAGGACAATGGTGAATCTTATTAAAGTTATTTATGTCATTATTTGGGAAATCTTTAGGCTGAAACACCATCAGATAAAGAAAACGCAGGAAATGTTGAACGTAACAGAAGGGAGAGCCATTCTTCCGATCAAGTTTCATTGCAGGTTAGTATAATCTTGAAGGTATTATGAAAAGATTAAGAAAGTTTAATTCTTCCTCCATATATACTGCATGGAATGCTCCATTCTCCATCATATACAAAATATTTTGATTAAATGGAAAACAGGGGGAAAAGAATGATTGTTTAGAGAGAAATGACACACTGCATTCCTTCCTATGCCTCAACAATGGAATGTGGCTTTTCCTCAAACAGCCTTCCCCACACTATTTCAAAAGCTTATCCTGTTTGAGACTGCTGGCAGTTATAATCCAACATAACTGGAGGGCTTTTTTGTTAGGCAAGTCAAGTTCTTGATAGGAAGGAGAGGTTTTGAGCAGAGCAAACTCAGACGATAGAAAAGTTTAAACTGTTTGAACCGAACTCTCTCCCTCATGTTACTTGCCTCTATCATACCAAAAGATTCTATATTTTGCTAACTTAAACACTACAGGTGGAAAAAAAAATTGAAGAGGGGAGAATTAAAAGGAGAAAAAATTCTGGGTGAAAAAGTTTTGAGCTCTTATCTCCTCATCCTTCTCAATTTAGAACGCTTAGGTATTTGTTACCTGGTACATATATGTTATCCTGTAGGACATTTTGTTTTACAGGATGGGTGTTAAGTTCTGGGTGAAGAATGGAGGTGAGGCTGGGGTGATTTCTAACAGTTCTTTATTCAGTACTGCCTGTGAGGCAACAGTGCTCCCTGGCTGACACAGCTCCTTTTTTATGAAATTGATCAGCCAAACAACCAATTAGGAGAGAGTATTTTCCCGCTCCAACAGAGGACCAGAATTTATTTATTTATTTAATTTATTTATGTATTTCGTCAAGCATGTATTTGATAACAAATACAAGTGTAAACATAATTATGAATACATGAGATGGATACCAATAAAGGAAACATTAGGACATGATGACAGGGATGGTAGGCACGCTGGTGTGCTTAAGCACGCCCCTTAAAAACCTCTTAAGAATGGGGTGAGGTCTACAGTAAACAGTCTAAGTTTAAAGTTTTGGGGGTTTGGGGAAGAAACCACAGAGTCAGGTAGTGCATTCCAGGTGTTGACAACTCTGTTACTGAAGTCATATTTTCTGCAGTCTAGTTTCGATCGGTTTACCATGAGTTTGTATCGGTTTACCATGAGTTTTGATTGAAGCTGAAATATTCATTGACTGGTAGGACATTGTAGCAGATGATTTTATGTACTACACTTAGGTCAGACCAAAGACGGCGAAGTTCTAAGTTGTCTAAACCCAAAATTTCTTGTCTTGTGGCCGAAGAGGTTGTAGAAAAAATGCTTTTAAAAGCCTCTGACAATCCTAGCTGAGCCGCACAATCATCAGAGGCTTTTTTTTTTACTTTTAAAAGCATTTTTTCAGCTTTTTTTTTTTTTTAAAAAAAAGCCTCTGGTGATTGCGTGGCTAGGCTGGGCATGGGGGGGGGGCGGGCAGGGATTTTTGCTACCGGTTCTCCGAACCACCTGCCTCCATCGCTACCGGATCGAGCGATCCGGTCCAAACCAGGGGAGCATTTCACCCCTGGTGAAATGGGGCCAACTTCACACTGAGGGGCAAGTTGTTCCAGAGGGCAGGTGCAACAGCAGAACAGACCCTTGATTAACTTGACTCTGCTGGCATGTAAACCCACCCCTCCCCAACAAAAGGAAAAATTCTCTATCTCCCCCACTCCCCCATCTAGCTCACCCTGAACAGTGGCATTTGGCAGGCTGGGTCTGAAGTAAAGACCTGGTCTTGGCTCCAGCTTTAGTTGCCAGGTGTTGTTAAATGCTGGTGTGTCACCCAAAATGTCACAGGATGTCCTCTTTGATACATGTGTCATAGGTTTACCATCACTGAACTATAGGAGAACTTTAGGAGAACCATTTTAATTTACTGCATGTTGGCCAAAAAATCAGGAGGAGCGGCTTGGTAGTATATTTTTTAATTATAATTAAAATAAATGCACATTTTATTAAACATCCTAATTTTCTTTTGTGAGCTGTTCACTTTAACAAATGCATACAGAAGCTACACTGATGGAGGATTTAAATTGGAGTGAGGTGGAGAGAAGACAAAGTGGTTATGCAGATGCAGGTTACATGTGAAACAAATTACAAGTATCTTATTAATTAACAATTATATTGTGTTAAAATGTATCAGGACTCAAAATAAGGACCAAGTAGTGTCAGAACATTTTAGCCTAGACCCGTGATGGCGAACCTATGGCATGCGTGCCACAGGTGGCACGCGGAGCCATATCGGTGGGCACGTGAGTGTTGCCCTAGCTCAGCCTTCTGGGCCCACCGGAAGTCAGGAAACAGGCTGTTTCCGGCCTCCGGAGGGCCTCTCGGGTGGGTGGGAAAGGCCCGTTTTTTGCTCTCCCCAGGCTCCAGAGGCTTTCTAGGAGCTGTGGAGGGCAAAAACGGCCTTCACCCTCTCCCAAGGCCCTCCAGAGGCCGGAAATGGCGCCACAGGGGAGGGGGGGTGTCACGTGCGCATGCACATTGAATTATGGGTTGGGCACGCATGCATGTGACACCCCCCCACTCCCCCACTTTTGGCATGCGATAGAAAAAAGGTTAGCCATCACTGGCTTAAACTATATAGGAGCCCCCCAAGGACTTTAAAAGCACACATTGAGAGAAAAGTTCCCTGTGGATGGGCTCCAGCACGGAGTCTGAAAGATCTCGTGGTCCTGGTGACCCATCAAGATTGGATCCTGTCACATCAAAAAGTTTCAGGCATTCTCAGAAGTCCAACAAACATAATGGGTTTTTAATTTTACCACAAATGTTGTGCTTATGTTTGTTTTGATAAGTGGCCCTCGAATATTCCATTCTGGTATTATTAACAGATTAGACATATGGAGTATCCAATTCTCTCTCCAATTACTCCTATTATGCTGAGTTCAGTAGAAAGGCCTTCTGAACCTACTTCAGCCTGCAATGCCCTGCACTGCTTTTTAAAAATAGTTTACCAGATTTATTAAAACGGTTCTGTGTTGCTGTTGCGAGGTTTTGATTGGGCTAGTTTCTTATTGTAATTTTTAAATAGGCTGGGTTTTATTATTACTGTTTTACAGAGTTAACCAAACCAGCAACAAACTTGTTGCTACTCCATAAACAGAGTACCAACCAATTTTCCTGGTAGCAAATTAGAAGGCAGCAGATTAGAGTTTAGTCCCAATTTACCACTTATCCTATTGCTTGAAGCAGCTGCTTCATTTCATCTAATAACAAAACTGGCTTTCTTCCAGAATGCTACTTCATTTTGTTATTAGACTCAAATTGTAGGTTCACTGTTTATGGGGAAAAAAAATAGAATAAATCTCAGATGGAAGATGCTTAAAGACTTACTGTAATTCTGAAGACCCTTTGTAAACAAAAAATGAGTACCGTACTTTTCGGAGTATAAGATTCACTCCCCCCAAAAAGTGAGTGAAAATTGTGGTGCATCTTATACACTGAATGTTGCCGAAACCACCCGCTGGCCCCCACCCTTTGGCTGTTTTCGGCCTCCGCACATCACATTTTCTGCCACCGCATGCTCCATTTTAGACCTGTTCCAGGCTGTGGGCATTGCCACAGCACATCGCCTCTGATTGCCACCTCCATGTGTCGCATTTTCAGCTTCCATGCATCGTGTTTTTGGCCTCCACACGCCCCGTTTTTGGCCTCCGTGCGTTGCATTTTTGGCTGGTTCTAGGCGGTGGGGATCAGCAGTGGAAGCGGCAATCCCCACCGCCTGGAACTGGCTGAAAATGCGCTGCGCGGAGGCAAAAAACGAGGCATGCGGAGGCTGAAAACATGATGCATAGAGGCCAAAAAAGTGACGCATGGAGGCGGCGATGGGCTGTGGTGATCCCCGCAGCCTGGAACAGCTGATTGGTGGTATTCTGGGCGGCCGATCCAACCACCAATTAGCTGCTCTTGCTGAATCAGGCTGTGATAGTGTGCTGAAGCTGACCAGGCTGTTTGCTGCAAGGATGCTAGCCATATGAATACTGATGGATGCTGGTAGGCAGAGGCAGAACTTCTTTTTCTTGTTTTCCTCCTCAAAATCTAATGTGTATCTTATACTCTGAAAAATATGGTAAATTCTCTTGGGTGTAGAGGCAACCATTCATGTAAATCCATAACCTTACTTCTACTGACATTTTATGAATGCTAATTTATTTTATAGTTGTGTTCCTGAATTTAGTTTTGAGGCTGAACGAATCTACAAATTTGCATTGATTTTAGCTGAATAACAGTAAACAAATATAGTGTCTGCAGTGAACATATGCACACATTTTTGTCACAATCAGCACTAAAATTAGCAGTGCAAATATAATCTAATGTGTAACATTTCTTCTTTCCCAATTTCTAAAATGATAACCGAGATTCCTGAAGTCTATCAGCTGAGAATGTATGCTCTTTTTAAAATACTATAAACCAAGGAAGGTTGCTATTTTGAGGTCCCTTCCACCAGTAGAACAATGGCAAATTCCTTAAAGTGATTAAAATCCCTAATCGCAAAATTGCCAACATGACTACTAACATCCGATTATGGACATGGCACAACAACAACAAGGAGAACAAAATCAATATCTAGGGAAGACTCATTATTTTTTTTTTAAAGCAAGATTTTACTTAAACCAATAGACATGTAGAGTATATATTTCACCATGCTAAGAAAGATTATTTAGTTCTGTAGTTGCTCCAACAATATCTTCAGCCATAGAACTTTTATGTGGTTTTTTAAAAAAATTTGGATTTGTCTGACAGGTTATATAGTGAATTATCTCAGGCTTTCTCAGGAAATATAAAAGGTGTTTTGGTTTCTATTCTCCTTTCTTTTAGGGACCGGTAGCTCTTTTCTCTTTGCTGTCTGTACGGATCATTAGAATGACAAACCTCAGAGAAACAGATTTGTGTGAGTATCTTTGAATTATCATTCCTCAGCCTAGCATCCTTCAGCTACTGTATGTTAGGCTGGAAATCCATGGCTGCTAGTCAAGCTTGCTTGGTAATCTGGGAGTTGTAGTCCAATACATCTGGACTACATTGTGGCATTATGGCGTTATGGATTGCTTTCAAAGTGCTGGTTTTATTAACTGCTCTCAAAAGTTGTAACAGTATCTGTATGAAATATTACAGGTATTACAATATTACAGGTATTACAATATTACAACAGTTCATTTAGTGACTGTTCAAAGTTACGACGACTGTGAAAGAAGTGACTTATGACTGTTTTTCACACTTACGACTGTAGCAGCATTCTTATGGTCACATGATCAAAATTAAGATGTTTGGCAATTGGTTCATATTTATGTCTGTTGCCGTATCCGGAGGTCATGTGATTCCCCTTTTGTGACCTGCTGACAAGCAAAGTTAATGGGGAAGCCAGATTTACTTAACAACCGTGTTACTAACCTCACAACTGCAGTAATTCTCTTAACAACTGCGGCAAGAAAAATTGTAAAATGGGGCAAATTCACTTAACAAATGTTTCACTTAGCAACATAAATTTTGGACTCAATTGTGGTCATAGCTCGAGGACTACCTGTATTTACAGGACGTCATTGGCAATAGTTACTGCAGAGATATGATACTGCTATCATTGCTTTTGCTGAAAAACTCGAATGTTTTTTTTTTTAAATTGTTGTCAATGAGAAATGAAAATGGAGATTCCTTTTCCCACTCATGTGTTTGGGACAAGGCTGGGAACAAAATCACAGCCTTTTGTCAGCTGCTGAACAGTGTCCCTGCATTAAAAGCCACAAAACATTTTTTTAAAAAACATTAACATCATGAACCACTCCTGCCCCCTCAGACCAAAGCTTCTTTATATATTAAAACCACTGCTTATAATTTATACTTCAGTCTACTTTTCCCCTTCCAATTTATGCTTGTTTTTTTTTTCCTTATGCCACTAGTTTCTACAAATAGCTTTAGGGATTAAATCCTGTCCATAGCACAGGTAATTAGACTAAGAAGTATGCAGTTGTACATCAAGTTATCTCTTCCTTCAGATTAACTGCCAACTAATTAAGTGGATATGCTGTAATAAGACACGGCTCCCTAGGTGATAGGGTGGAGGGAAAACAGATGTTGAAAGAATGATGAATCATTCCAAAAAGTAATTTCTTAGCACTAACTTCTAGGCCAGTGATGGCTAACCTTTTTGCCATCGTGTGCCAGGAGGGAGAGTGGGGGTAGGTGGGTGGGGGGCGCATGTGTATGCCCACATCCATAATTCTATATGCGCCGCCCCTGCATGCATGACCCCCCCCCTCCTGCTCCTGGCACGTGATGGCCCAGTAGGCCCGTTTTTCTTTCTCACCTGACTCCAGGGCCTCTCTAGGAGTTGGGGGGGAGGCTAAAACTGCCGTCCCCACCCCCCCAGGCCCTCTGGAAGCAGGAAACAGCCTGTTTCCCTACTTCTGGTGGGCCCAGAAGACCTGAAAATTAGCTGGCCGGCGCACCCATGCACGCCAGAGCTGAGCTCACATGCCCGCTGATATGGCTACATGTGCCACCTGTGGCATGCGGGCCATAGGTTCGCCATCATGGTTCTAGGCCTTTCCTCCGTTCTAGCAGTGAACAACAATGCACTTCATGCTTGTGTCATTACTCCAGAAAACTTGATTCTATGGTGAGCTATACCAGTTGGTCAGAAGAACAGAATATAATACTATAAGATTCAGATAGAATATAGAAATAAAATTATTTCTTTGAAAACATGGTCTTCATATTATGGCCAAAGCAAATATTAAAGCAAACAGGTAGTCCTCGACTTACAACTGTTCATTTAGTGACCAGCACTGAAAAAAGTGTTTTATGACCATTTTTCACACTTATTATGACTGTTGCAGCATCCCCATGGTCATGTGTTCAAAATTACGATGCTTGGGAACTGACTCATATTTACGATGGTTGCAGTGTCCGGGGGGGGGGGGGTCATGTGATCATCTTTTTTTGACCTCCTGACAAGCAAAGTCAATCGGGAAGCCAGATTCACTTAATAACATAACTGCAGTGATTCACTTAACTGTGACAAGAAAAGTTGTAAAATGAGGCACACTCATTTAACAAATGTCTCATTTAGCAAAATAAATTTTGGGCTCAATTGTGGTCATAAGTCGATGACTACTTGTTTAAATAATTTATTGCAAAAAGGGATTGTGATGCCCAGCACTCCTCAACCTTGAATTTATTAACTCTGCTTAAGGCGTGAATCCTAAATCAATTAGAATCCAACATAGCTCACACAGCAAAAAAATCCATTGTAGAGATAGTCTTTGGGAGATATACAAGGCAATATGAATATTATATCAGTACTTGAAAGCACATGCTTAATATAATTAATACATACTGAGTTCAAATTTCAATTCTCCATATTTACATTTTTGTCGTTTTGAAACCTGCAGTAAGCCAAAGTGATTGTTATGTAAGTTTGAGATTGCCATCCTCTTCCTTCGTTACTGCACGAACAAAAACTATTTCAAATTGTAGAAATCCAGTCTGGAATGAAACATTCTTCTTCAGGATTCAGAATATGGCTAAGGTGAGGAGCCAATAACTATATTTTCCAGTAGGATGCACTTTTATGTTTACATTGGGGATAGGTGGGAATTTCATTCACACAATATATAAAACTTTCTTAGAACCTTGGAAAATTATGGTACCATAGCATGGAGTGTGAACCTAGATGGCATGATTATCTTGTGCTTTACTATATTATACTGGCAGGGTTAATTTAGTAACTACATTGAATGTGGTTTTGAATGCAGCCTCTGAAACTATTTCTACAAGTAGGACTGATACCAATGTAAGGGCAGTTCCTATTCTTAATTCTTGGAGGTAGCTCCCCCACCCAAAACCCAACATTATACTATTTTCACAATGATTAACAACATATTATTAACCTATTTTAGCAATGATTATGATTAACAAAATCATAAGGCAATAAGAGATTAAGCAAGATTAACAAGAGCCTTGATAGTACAGTGGTCTATACACCCTGTTATTAACACAGCTGCCTGCAATTTACTGCTGGTTCGAATCTCTCCAAGGCTTAAGGTTGACTCAGCCTTCCATCCTTTCTAAGGTAGGTGAAATGAGGACCCAGTTTGTGGGGGCAATAAGCTGACTTTCTATAAATATACAAAAGTATGAAGGCTATTGCTTAATGCATTGTAAGCCACCCTGAGTCTCCAGAGAAGGGCGGCATATAAATCAAATAAAAAAAAAAAAATTATGTTCCTTCTAACTTTCTCCCTCAAGAGATCATTGGCCCCAAACTAGGCCTGAACTCAGACTATAGAGAGGCAATGTTTTACTAACATTTAGAATTTCATACACTCCAAGGCTTGAGACCTTGTTCCAAAATGACATCGTGATAGTTAGATAAGCTTCTAGTTTCAAGGAGGGCTTTTTCAGGATTGGGCATATCAGTGCCTCCTTTAAGACCAGAAAATTAACTTTATCCATATGTTTGTCATACTCGAGATCTATCCAGTAACCCGCACCCCTATCTCTAATACATTCAAGGGAAGAAAGTAATTGCTAGAACTGAAATCTATAATCATATTGTTAAAATGCTTTTAAAAGCCTCTGATGATCCCAGCTGAGTTGCCTGATCAGCAGAGGCTTTTTTTTCTTTTAATAACATTTTTTCTACAACCTCTTTGGCTGAAGAGTTTATAAAAGAAAATCTTTTAAAAGCCCCTGATGATCCCAGCTGAGCCGCTCGATCATCAGAGGCTTTTTTTTTTTTACTTTTAAAAGCATTTTTTTGGCCGGAGAGGTTATAGAAAAAATGCTTTTAAAAGTAAAAAAAAAGAGCCTCTGATGATTGTGCGGCTCAGCTGGGCATGGGGGGAGGCAGGGATTTTTGCTACCGGTTCTCCGAACCACCCACCACCATCGCTACCGGATCAAGTGATCCGGTCAGAACTGGGAGCATTTCACCCCTGGTTAAGATAATATAGAGAAACAATGGATATTTAACTAAATATATTTAACATTTATGAATGAAAGTCTGTGAAACAGGCAGCATGAAAATTAGAGTTTTGACTTTTCTGTCTAAAACCAATTAATTCTGAAATTTCAAATCTTCAACCTTTAATCCTTGTCTGAATTGCCCTATACTTCTGCTGCTGATGATAATCAAAGCACTTTACATAGTCCCTTCATCTTTATTTTCTTTTTTTTAAAAAAAGCAATCCTGCGCTTCTATTCCCTAGAACATACTTGAAATAACAGTCTATGATGAAGACAGCCCATTCAGCGATGAGGAACTCTGTAGTATTACATTTGATACAGCAAATCTTCAGTTTGAAGAAAGAGTTTGCAAGCATTTTGAATTGAACAAAGAGGTGAGAAATGCAATTACATATTCAGAATAGGTGGTTACAGTATCAATGAATGTATGTTTTCTGAAATGTGGTTTATATTTAATTGTTCATTGCACTGTATTATTTCATTTTTATTCACCATTGCCTTTGACTGGCTGTTACATAGTAATTTTCCAAAAGTTGTGTCCTTTAGAAACATATACCTAAAATAATTGTTATTGGCTAATTATATATTTATTTCACAGTAATTATTTTAAGCAGATATGGAATCTCTAACACAATTCTTTTAATAGAACACATAAAAGAAAAGAAAAGAAAATGTGGCAAATATGGTCCATTGACTTCTTATAAAAAATATGCAGGTCGGTCCAAGTTGGAAAGATCTGGTTTTAAGAATGTTCTATTTCTCTCAGAACAGACCAAACTGAGCATTTTCACAGATTCCCCACAACAGGAAATAATATTGTAATGGGTATTCAGAATGTTTCACCATAAAAATACTAATTAACTACATGTTGTCCTCAAATATATAAATATTTGGTTTTGAACAACACAAATAACAGGGATGAGATACTATAAAGATGAAGTTGCTGCCAGAAATTGAAGGAATAGAATAGAATAGAATAGAATAGAATAGAATAGAATAGAATAGAATAGAATAGAATAGAATAGAATAGAATTCTTTACTGGCCAAGTGTGATTGGACACACAAGAAATTTCTCTTCAGTACATAAGCTCTCAGTGTACATAAAAATACATTCATCAAGAATCATAAGATATAACACTTAGTGATAGTCATGGGATACTAAATAAGCAATCAAATCATACTAGGAAACTAACTAAAACAATATAAATCATAAAGATACAAGCAACAAGGTTATAGTCATAAGTTGGAGGAGATAGATAATAGGAAGGATCAGTTCTGGTGAGCATTTGAAGAAGCTAATATTTCAAATATTTGATTTCAATTTTAGAAAAATGAATTGCTAGAAGTGGAATTCTATTTGGAACACATGTGAGTAAAAGTTGAGCAAACGTAATAATTGAGTTACAAGCTAAAGTTATTAGCTTTAATGCCATACAGTATGAATTGTAGTTCATTTTACTGCATTTGCAAATGTCTTAGTATAATTCTTTTTTTTCAAAATGGCAAAACCTTTCCCACACTGTAATTTTTATAACTCAGCCATAGAAGTAGAAACTAGGCAGACTTAATCGTATTTCTGGATCATTCATAGGAGCGGGGGACAAAAAAAATCAAGATGGCAGCCACTACTTCCGGAATAAAGCTGCACTCCATTTTACATACATTGCACATAAATGGGGTAGAGCTTCAACTAGACTTCTTCTTCTTCTTCTTTTTTTTTGACACAGCCTTTCTTCAAATATCCTTGGCCAGATTATTTCATTATCCAAAACTAAGATCTCTTCCATAATGCTCTAGGAAAACTTATTACTATAATTCTTTATCAGCTAAAATATTTTGTAGAACCAGGTCAAACTGAGCAGAAAAAGAAATACAACAAATATAATAAATCTGAAATTGTAGGATGGAACATGTGCTGTTGTTAACAGTGTGATCTCCTTTCAAATAAGTTTAGAATAATTTGAGATGAAATAGATTTACATACAATCTGGAACCAGGAATGAGAAAGAATAGCTTTCTACTGCAGTCATCTGCAGATGTGCTCCTGATTATATCACATCCTATGAAAATTAGGCAAATATCAACCTGGCAGAAAGTCTTTGTTGTATTACCAGCTTTGTGGAACACTCTTCCAATAGGAATAACAAAACACTCCTAATAGCAATTGCAATAGTATTTAGATTTATATACCGCCCCACAATATTTACATGTATTTATATGTTAGGGTTTAGGTATATACACTTATATGTATATAGCATATCTATATGTGTGTTATGTATGTGTACACTTTTGAGAGCAGGCAACAGAATTTCATTTTTAATGTATGCCAGTATGCTCACCAGAAAAAATGGAAATAAAGGTTATCTTATAGTGCTTTACAGCTGTCTCTGGGTACAGAGAACTGTACAATATCACAATTATTTGCATATTGCCTCCAACAATCTGGATCCTCATTTCACCAACCTTGGAAGGATGGAAGGCTGAGTCAACTTTGAGCCTCAGCAGAATTGAACTGTAGGCTGTGGGCAGAGTTAGTCTGCAATACTGCATTCTAACCACTGCACCATCAGGGCTGCTAATGATAATGTTCTGCTTTTAGCTGTTAGTTATTTCTAAGCTATTTTTATTTTTTGGTATGTGTTCACCATATTTTATATCACAGTGATCATATTTTAAAATTGGATTAATTAATACTGCCTAGAGCTAATGAATATTACAGGTTATAGATACATGTTTTAAATATTTAACTAATATGTTTGGAATCTAGAAATGATTCTAAATATTCAGAATAAACATTTTAGCAGGCGAGCAAGAATTGAGTAAAAACCAATTATAATTTTTCTCACTTTTTTTTCTCCTCTAGATCAGATATGCCAGAAAACCTTATAAGTAATGGAGTACTCTTGGTATGTTTGTTACTTTTGTACTTATATTTACAATTTCAGTAACCTGGGAAGATGCATATGTAAAATGGTTCAAACTGGAAACTTCTCAAACTCTGAACATTGCAATTACATTTGAAAAAGTTGTTTCAAGCTTGCAATGAGTAGCTTTGATCATTCTGAAATGAAACTGCTTTGTTTGAAATTGAAAGCAAGAGTTCCAATAGGGCTTTTTAAAATTTGGAATACTTCAAGAAAGGCTGGAATAACACATTTTGAAATGGAAACGTCTATTTTTTTACTTGAAATGTTTTCCATAACTCCAGATGCTACTCTGAAGGATATTTTGAATAAATTAATGCATGAATTGCTTAATAAAATATGACACTGATATAATGACTCTTAAAGTCATTCTCAATATATTCCTTCTCTTTGATATACTGCAAACTTTCCTAATCTATTGGAGTGTCCACTTTTAGATTTCATATTTCCCAAGCACCAAGAATTTTGAACATGTTGGCTAAAGATTATGGAAGTTTTATTCGGGTGAAACCTGCTGATAAATGGTTCAATTTTTTCTGTCATTTGAGTTTTTTATTTTCTTTTAATCTCTAGTTTCTATTCTTGAAAGTTACTTCCAGTGTTAATTGAGTGGACCATTTAGTGCACAGTATAGTTTTGATGCAACATATAACTTTGCTAGTGGGAGAAAACAGCAATTTTAATACTTTATAACAATTGGATCCTACAAAAGCAACTCAAAAACTATTGTAAGAAGCTATAGGAAAAAGTAGCAGTAGAAAACAACTTTTTCATTTTCTGTTAGTGGAAATATCCCTAAATCAATAACATATTTAAATAACATATTTCCATTCAACCAAGCTGTCAGTGAAGAGGGAGAGTATATATTTACACAATTTTTATCCATCCACCTAAGTATATGTAACTATGTCTGAAATTCATTTAAACAATGCACAAAATTATTTTTGTAGTAATCCTTTAAAAGCAGCTTTTGAAAAAGGGGATAGGATAAAACAGTTTAATTACTGTTATGTCATATTACTACCTGTCTATCATTTGTTCTGATCATGAAATGTAAATTAATAACTAGTGATAATCATATCCTGTTTTCATCTCTTGAACAATTGGAGGTGTGTATAATTGTTTTTCCGTTGTAGTCTCGGGAACTTTGCTGCCTAAAAGTAGAGGTGAATCACAGAGAAAGGAAGAAAAAAAGAAAAAGTAAGATTTCTATTAGGATATTTTGTGTTTTTTTCCCCATTGGCTATAATATAGGTGTGCAATTATTTTAGAATAATAAAAGATGATATATCCAAAGACATGCTAGTTTCATGAGAATAGGAATAGATATATGTTTCATGAATGGACCTCTAATCCTTACTTCTCTCAAGTGGGTGAGGCCCTGAGACCATGTATCCAAGTTTCTATATCACTCACAGCACTCTTCTTTAGGGCAACTAATCCTGACAACCAACTCACTTGTGTGTTTATGTGGATATGAAATGAGTATTCCTGTCAGTGCATAATTTTTCATTAACTTGTAAAAAGAGATAAGCAGTTTAAAAGGCGGAATATTTTGTACTGCAGACAAGTGAGCTCCAGAGCCCACTTAGCTATGAAATTCAAGGAGGAGCTTTGAGAAAATCACTGTGCCCCTGACCTACATTTTGAGGATAAAATGAAATAATGTACTGCAACCTATCCTGGTCATCCTGAAGAAAGGGAAGGATGAAAAATGATCAATAAATGCAGGTTTCTAAATAGATCATTCTGAAGTTTTATTTGTCTTTTCTACTTTGCACTCAGAGCAAACTTTTGCATGTACTCTGAGAGGATCTTATGAAGATGCACAGAATATTTTAATGGATTCAAGTTCCAGAAATGCCCCGCCAAATCACGCAACTTTCCACTATGCCAAGTATTGTAATCCCAAATTAGAGGTGCAATTATTGAAGAAACGTTCCATTTGTGTGAGTTTTTGCTGATATCTGGGGACAGTTATATGCTTCACATAACTAACTTCCATATTCTGCATCAATAAAGTATAAATGCTACTTTGGATCAAAATTAAAAGACTGCAATAAGTCTATTGCTTAATAAATTTATTAATTGAAGAATTATTTTTCCATTTGCCATTGGGCATCATAGGAATTTGATTTTTTTCTGGAAAAGCTAATCAAGAAGAATGTTAGAAGTAATGACTGGAAAGTTTATTAAATGGGGAAAAATCACTTAACAACTCTTAGCAACAGAAATTTTAGGATCAGCTGTGGTTGTAAATTAAATACTACCTCTATTAGAGTTTCTTATTTCTACTTGCTTCTCTCCTATAAAACTGCCCCAGAATTCTGCAGCCGAGAGAAGATAGCCATAGTCTTAATACACATCTGTTTAGTCAAAGCCTTTTATCTCTAATTAGAATCAATTATTCCCTTCCTCTTAGCAATAGCAATAGCACAGACTTATATACTGCTTCACAGTGCTTTACAGCCTTCTCTAAGCGGTTTACAGAGTCAGCATATTGCCCCCAACAGTTTGGGTCCTCATTTTACCCACCTCAGAAGGATGGAAGGCTGAGTCAACCTTGAGCCTGATGAGATTTGAATTGCCAAATCGCAGTCAGCTGGCAGTCAGCAATAGAATAGAAAAGTTGTTGCTTTTCACAATATAGCTATTATTAGCTATTGCATCACAGCCAGTGGTGGGTTTCAGCCAGTTCTCAACTTCGGGAGAACCGGTTGTTAACTTTCTGAGCAGTTTGGTGAACTGGTTGTTGGAAGAAATCATTAGGGCAGAGAACCAGTTGTTAAATTATTTGAATCCCACCACTGATCACAGCCACTGTTATGGTTAATATTACCTGGAATGCTGTTATTTCAAAAACATGTCTTCTGACTATTTGTTTTTTTCTCTCTCTCTTTTAGTGTCCCTCAAATTCTGGGAAAACACTCTCCTTCACCTTGCCTTTGTGTCAGGTTCCTTTGGGAGAAAGAATAGAAGTAGCAAACGTGAGTCTTTTCTGTGAACAATGCCCATTTAGTTTTCTGTACTGCTTCCCTATGTCCAACAGATAATATAAATATATACAATAATACTGTCAGTGCAAACCTCTCTGCATCTTCTGAAAAGTCATTCAGAAAATGTTCCATGAGTTTATACTCCTACCCAAGCGAGCCTAGGATTCCGATAGTGGTATCTTACTTCTGATGAGGATAACAAGGAATTTTCTATCCGGCCATTGCCTAGAACACAGTTTATGATTTCACTGTTTGAGATTGAGATCTAGAACAGTCATGCTGATAAATTCAATGGTTCATCAGCACAAGACCAGCTCAAGCTGCTACTGCTAAAAGGAGCATTTTCACATCTATGTTCCTTTTGCTATTTAAAAACCTTTTTTCTATATAACTGGGTTAAGTTTGTAGCTTAAGCATATGGAACTGCTATCTTAACATCGTTGTGCCCACTTGATACCCCTCCTGTGCGAGCTGCACTGGCTCCCAGCGGTCTTCCGGGTGCGATTCAAGGTGTTGGTCACCACCTTTAAAGCGCTCCATGGCATGGGACCCGGGTACCTTCGAGACAGACTTCTGCCACCAATAGCCTCCCACTGGCCAGTTCGCTCCCACAGAGAGGGTCTCCTCAGGGTGCCATCGGCCAAGTTATGTCGGCTGGCGACACCCAGGGGTAGGGCCTTCTCTGTGGGAGCCCCAGCCCTGTGGAATGAACTGCCCCTGGAAATGCGTAAGATCTCCGACCTCCGGGTATTTCGTTGTGCACTCAAGACCCTGTTGTTCCGCCAGGCTGGGCTATCAACATAACAATTTTAAATTGGGTTTTAAATTCCTGGGGTTTTAAATTGAGCCGAATTCATTCATTTAATAATTTTACCTGATGTTGTCTTGTGTTTTTAATAGGCTGTACACTGCCCTGAGTCCTTCGGGAGAAGGGTGGTATAGAAATAAAATTATTCTATTCTATCTAGTGTGCAATTCATATCAGGATACCTAGAAGCAATCAGTTTTTCTGTTTGGAAAAGCTCACTTTTGAACATAGTTGTATTAACCTTTAACATTAAGTTCCAGTTTCCTAGAATAATTAGCAGCTATCTGGCTGGTTTCTTTCCTCTAAAGAGACCATTTGTTTTAAGAATATCTGTACAATTTTATATACAAAATATGTCTGACAATGAAATATAGCATATAAATATAATCTAGATGTAAATTTTTTTAGATTTAGTAAGAATCTTTTCTCCATTCAGAAAACCCATTTTGTAAGAAGTAGATCAACTAACAACATTGTTTTATTCTCCAAGTGCTTAATTTGAAAAAAAAGTTACTTATTTATTTATTTATTGGTTCAATTTATATGCCGCCCTTTTCCGGAGACTCAGAGCGGCTTACAATGAGTTAAGCAATAGCCTTCATACTTTTGTATATATCTGCTTAGTAGGGCTTTCGGCCCCCCCTAAGCTGTATTCTTTTTTATACAAAGTCAGCTTATTGCCCCCACAATCTGGGTCCTCATTTTACCTACCTCGGAAGGATGGAAGGCTGAGTCAACCTTGAGCCTGGTGAGAATTGAACTCGCAGTAATTGCAGGCAGCTGGCAGCTAAGTGCTACTTTAACAGCAGCAGTTTAGTCTGCTGTGCCACCAAGACTCCTTAAATGATTCTCCATTTTTAACAGCTTTTTCTGGAGAAGATGGCAATATTATCGTTCCTAGTTATCTTCTTCCTCATAGTCAGTGCTATGATGTCAGTCCTACTCTGGTTCATATGATAAATAGGCTAGTAGTGAAACAAATGCCAGCTCACCAAAGGCAATGGTTGTCAGTGTTTCCTCCCCAATTGGCAGAGAGCACCCTGATCTCATGCTAAGAAGTTTGCTAGCTTAATTCTCTCTTATAATCCATCTAGTTATGGGTAAAAAACAGCTGTTATGTGATCATGACCTGGAAGCTTGCCATAGGAAGGCATCAAGTTTAAATCCCAATTCATCTCCTAGTAGAAAGATCCAGTCTATGTAGGACAGGGGAATAACCTGTTAAAGAATTTTGTTGGGAAAGAAGGTAAATTCTAACATTAAGGATTTCTATGCCTTTAGAAATAGCTAAGTGCTATTTAACAGCGCTTTAGTTCGCTGCTCCACCAAGGCTCTTATAAAAGGCTCTTATATTCCCCTAAGGGCAAAATCTTCACGTGCAAATAGATGGAGCTTGCGAACCAGTTTATAGGATCATCTAATAAATATTTTGTTTTTATTTTCAAAGTGGACTAAGAAAGCAAGAGAGCAAATCATGCTTTTTAAAATGATAGCAAAATTAAATGTGATTTAGAGTTGTTCAGTGCTATGTGTATTCCTTTTTTTTTCCTTTTAGGATAAAGCATATGAAGTCTTTGTGACAACAGAAAACTGGTAACCATTTATTTCCTATTTTTTAAAAATGATTTCTGGTAATTTGATAGTTCAGTTTTGCCACATTTTAAAAATCAGGTCAATTAGTTTGACCTTTTCTCATCTTGCCCACCAAAGAGATAAATAAACAAGGTTAGGAATAGTGAAGTGCCCTCCCCCCAAGGAAAACTCTTCATTTTAAACAAGAGCTGAAATAAACATTTACCATTATTCAGTATTTGGTATGATTTCACATATTGTCATTGGAATAAAATTTCTTTGTCTGAAATTTAAACTCAACAATGTATGTAGAATTATAATTTTATAGCCATAATGCTTTAGTGTGGACTAGAGCATCTCCCCTTTTAAAAATAACAATAATGAAATTTGAAATTTTGGTTCACCTATGAAATACAAAATAAAATTTCAAGTTAATTGCACACATTAAGCCATTCCAGGTTATATGAATATAACTTCTCCATAGCCCTGCCAATGCAGCTCTATATGGCATCTCTTTGCTTTCTGACTGCTGAATGGCTGATATTTCTGAATAATTCTAATTGGAATTCTGAAATCATGTTTATTAATTCCAAATTCTGCTCCATACTAATGGCCATTTTTCAGGATTCACAGAGTATAATTAATCACAAGGAAGCCAAAGACAGTAACTGTGTATATACATAGAAAAGAGAGAAAGAAAGATTTAAGTTTTCTACCTGGAGCAATTTAACATGCAAATGAACCCAGCAAAAAGCATTACACAACTACAGTCAAACATTCAGTCAAATATTCTCCCAATTTCACACTTATCAGTTATCTTGATAGACAGCTACACAGCCTGCACAAATTGTGAATATGCTAGAGTCAAATATTCTCCCCTACAAAATATATTGGTAAACAGCTTGCACAAATTGTGAATGTGTTCAAATCATGATGCTTTCATTAGTGTGCATTATGATATGAGTTTCTATTATCTAGCCAGAAAAGCCCAGATATGCGTTTGGGCTTTGATCTCTGTCCAGAGGAGAAGGATTTCATCTGTAAGCGCAAGAAATATGTTGCTGCTGCTTTGAAAAATGTTCTTCGGCTAGAAGGAGAACTGCAGGACAATGAGGTATGACCTGTCGCACAGCAACATAAGAGGAGCAAAGAAAGTGGTGGTGATGGGTAAGGCTGCCCCATATATATATATATACATATATAGATTGAGCCATTATATATATATATTAAGCCAGACTCAAATTCCTCATTAGCATTTAGTCTCTTCCGCAGTTCTTGATTCAAGCATGTGAACTCAAAGTTTGCTTTTACGTGATTTGCTCCTATGACTTGGTATAAAGAAGTCAACTTATCGAGGGAGCCTGATTTCAAATACATACTCTGAAATATGGTTAGTTTTAAATTTTATTACTGAATTCTTATTTCGAAGAAAGGTGCTTGAAACTTTTCTGTCCCACGTGTCTTCAGTAGAAATCCTATCTTTTGCCAATTTTAGGTGTGGATTGTATTTTAAAAATATGCAGACTATGTTAAATAAGTTATTTTATCTATGCACAATAACGTTTGTTGTTCAACCTTCAATAAGGCTACTGCCAAGCTAGGGTGAATTTATTTTTAAAACCAACCCATTTCTTTTGTTTAAAATAATCTATGTAAGAAATAAAGCCAGAAAATTAAACTAACAATAAAAGTAAAAGAGAAATAATACACGGGGCCTCCCTTGAAAAGCTTCTGGAAGCTGCAGCTGATACAAAATGCAGCATTTTAGGCAATTACTCTTGATCCACACATGTTGCACCTCTGCTCCTTTGTTTCCGGGTTCAGTTCCAGGTGTTGGTTGTAACCTATAAAGCTCTTCCTGGCATTGTGCCAGGTTATTCAAGGGAGCGCCCCTCTATGATTGACTCCATGATTAGAGGACTGGAGGCTAAAACATATAAAGAACGATTGCTGGAATTGGGTATGTTTAGTTTAATGAAAAGAAGGACTAGGGGTGACATGATAGCAGTGTTCCAATATCTCAGGGGCTGCCACAAAGAAGAGGGAGTCACATTATTCTCCAAAGCACTTGAGGGCAGGACACGACACAATTGATGGAAACTAATCAAGGAGAGAAGCAACCTAGGACTAAGAAGAAATTTCCTGACAGTTAGAACAATTAATCAGTGGAACAACTTGCCTCCAGAAGTTGTGAATACTCCAACACTGGAAGTTTTTAAGAAGAGATTGGATAACCATTTGTCTGAAATGGTATAGGGTTTCTTGCCTAAGCAGGAGATTGGATTAGAAGACCTCCAAGGTCCCTTCCAACTCTGTTATTTTTCTGCCCCAGCTTCAGATTCCCAGAGAATGTGACACACACTAGCTTCGCAAACACTGTTTAATTCCAAACAAACCCCTTTCAAGAATAGAGGCTTCCCGTGCAAAGGGTCCTTATCAAAGTTATTAAGAACAAAGTCCGACAAAGGTTGGCAACCAGCCCAGAAAACCAGATATGAGAAGTCGCTCGCTCTCCAAGATGCCCTGTAGTAATGAGACGTTGTTTCTAGCAAGACAGCACTAGCTGCGTGTGACTTAAATAGGCTAAGGAAGTGGCCAATTATCCTCAAGCCCTACTCTTGAGTAGACCTCCTCCTCCTGAGTAGCCACTCCTGCCTTTTGGCAGCCCTGCGTGCCTGAGCATTGAGGAGAGGCTCCTCCACTTCGCACTCTCCACTGGAAGGAGCCTCTGGAGGTTCTGAAGGCCCTGGCTGAGTCTCTGCCTCTGGCATCACATCCTCTTTGGCCTCCTTGGTGTCTGATGAGAACGCCAGCTGTGCAGGCTGCTGGCGTGACACCACACCAGCTCCTCGTTGTCGGGATCAGCCATGATCCGTGCAGGCTGCTGGCGGGCCACAACAGTTATTCTATTCTACCCTAAATCCACTTTTCCCATTTATTATGGAGTGCAATCTGACATGCTCAGGAAGAGTGCCTTTTCTGTCATGGCATCTATGTTTGGAACATAATTCCCTCAGAGATTAGATTTGTCCTGATCCTGGTGGCTTTAAACACTGTGTTGTGTCATTGGGCCGGGGGAATAGGAAGTGGAGTTATGATAACTTGTGATTGATGGATCTGTTTTTACCTTGCGGTTGTTTAATGGGTATTGTTTTTCTTTGTTTTATAATGCTTTTATCATTCCCTTTAATTAATGTTAATTAATGTTAAAGATTACCCAGAGTCATGAAAGTGAGATGGGTGGCCATATAAACTGAAATAATGATAAATTTTAACAATATGTATAAAAAAGGCAAAAGCTACAACATTTTTTAAAAGCGTTTGAAATGCGCTAGATTAATAAAACCAAAAGAATTTAGTCCAAAATAATTTAGACTTCATTGGAAGCTTGAATAAATATGAGTCTTTTTATAGTAATTACAACCAAGAGACTAATCTTTTTATTTTATTTGTATCTTGCCTTTATTATTTTTTTTAATAAAGATCTCAAGGCGGCGAACATACCTAATATCCCTTCCTCCTATTTTCCCCACAACAGCTGTGTGAGGTGAGTTGGGCTGAGAGAGAAAGTGACTGGCCCAAGAACACCCAGCTGGCTTTCATGGCTAAAGTGGGAATAGAACTCATAGTCTCCCAGTTTGTAGCCTGATGCCTTAATCACTAGACAAAACTGCCTGCCAGTTGGAAGTTGGAATAAGGAAGGTCTTGAACAATGGACAGGGTAAAAGCATTTAATGGAATTTAGAGATCATTGAGAGTTTCTACACTAGTGTCTGGTGTGTTTCTGCCACCATATAGTGATTTATGGAAAGACTGGGTGACAATGATGTGCATGTTTTTTCTATTTTTGCTTGTTCCTACTGTTTGTGGTGGAACACATTGAGCAAAGAGCCTCTAATCCAATTACTGTAGTAGCTGGGATCATTTCTCAGCAGGGCAGGACCTAGGGGTTTATTAGTCAATACCTGTTTGAGATAATGACTAAAAAATAGACTTAGCTTAATTTCTTAAGAATATTCAGAGATGATTTAGTGAAAACTCTTTGGGAAGAAATATCCATCTAGTCAGTTCCAAGCTGGGAGAAAGACACTGGAAACATGGAGGCTGATTGGAAAGATGGTTTATTGATGAAGCAGAACCACATGGCAGAGGTGAAATCTAAAATTTTTCCCTACCGGTTCTGTGGGCGTGGCTTGGTGGGGGGGGTGTCCTGTGACTGAGTGGGTGTGGCCAACTCGATGTCACTCACAGCCATGCCCACTCAGTCACAAGACCCCCTCCCACCAAGCCACGCCTATAGAACCCGGTAGGAAAACTTTTTAAATTTCTATTGTGCCACCCACTCGCCACCCACTCTCTCTTTGCTTTGGGTTGGGGACCAGAGCCCAGGGATGCGCCATTCCCTGTGGCCTGGAGCTGCTGCTTGCTCACCACCTGCCTCAACCAGGTCGGGGAATACACCATTACCTGATACCAACCTTGCCCTGGAGCCGCTGCCCGCTCTCTCATCGCCAAGCAGCATGTCCACACCTTTCTCCCGTGGCTGGTTGTCAGGGAAGGCAAGCGCCTGAAAGTTACCGGAGTTGCTCACTCTCCTTCTTGAATGAGCTGCCACCATCGCCGCCCTGGTCCACGCGCCGGTTGCGCAAGCGCACACCCAACCTGCCACTGTTGAGTGAATTAAATAAATGGTGTGCGCTTGTGCAGCCGGTGCATGGACCAGAGCGGCGATGGTGGCAGCTCATTTAAGAAGGAGAGTGAGCAACTCCGGTAACTTTCGGGCGCTTGCCTTCCCTGACAACCAGCTGCGGGAGAAAGGTGAGCAGTAGGATACACCGTGTGGCGAAGGGCGAGCAGGCAGCGGCTCCGCGGCAAGGCTGGAGTCGGCGAATGCATTCCCCGACTCCACGGAATGGGGTGGGTGGGCAGAGCCTCCAGCTGTCATTGCTACCGGTTCTCTGAACTACCGGCCATCATCGCTACCGGATCGGCCGATCCAGTCGCATTTCACCCCTGCCACATGGGTTTGTGGATCTGGGCAGCTGACAAAATGGAGTTGAGAGTGGGGTTTTTTAATACCTTCTTTTGGGCTTTGCACTTGAGCTTCCTGTTCCTGTGCAAGAACATGTATTCTGTTGGCTGTTGTCAGATTCCTATGGGGTCATGTAGGAGTTATGTAGTGGTCATAGCTAGCTCTATAGGCAAAAGGGGAAATGCAAATCCTAGGTGCTCTTCTGAGCTAATTTTGTCAACTTTCATTTGTTTCTTATCTGAGTTTCTATCTTGACTCAGTCTTTCTGAATGGATTACCAAATCTGCATTTCTAAAAGCTGGCCTCAGTTTCTGCTTGGGGCAGGGAAACTGGGACTGGTTTCTGAATAGGTTGGCCAAATCTTTCTTAATGGGCACAAAATATCTGCTGGGGGCTATTAAGAAAGATTTGGGGGCTGCTTTCTGTTTCTAAGAGCATGTTTCTCCATTTTCTTCTTTAGGGAAATATAATATTCTGCCTTTTTAATATTTCCCAAAATATTTCATTCTTCTGGGGTGGGGGGAGGTGCTAACTTTCTACAACTCATTGCAATATTTGAGTTTGTGAGCTATGTACATAAAATACTGATCTCATACAAAGCTGCATGTGGTGTCAGCTATGCTGGGAACTAGAAAGTTGCTCAATAAGGTCTATCGATATTATGCTTGAGGTATGAGGATTTTTCCATATATTTTCCTTAATGCTTACTTGAATTATTCTGGGACAAGGACCATTAACATCTACATATTTTTAAAGAAACATTTCTTGTGGAAATGATGCCATTTTGCACAATAATATGCGTAATAATCCCAGCTTCATTTCAGTCAGCTCTTTGTGTGTTATATATAATCTCCCTTTTTGATTCAAACATGAATTTTACTTAGGAATAGAATCATTTAATTTTATTTATATCTGTGTTTGTTCAGGTTCCAGTAGTGGCTCTGATGACTACAGCCGGGGGAGTAAGATCAATGACAGCCATGTATGGGAGCCTATTAGGTCTCCAGAAACTCAATCTCTTGAACTGTATTTCATACATTACTGGTTTATCTGGCACAACGTGGTAAGGAAGCCATGAACAACATTACTCAGAGAATGTGGTTGCCAGGGGGAGAGTTTTTATTTGGATCACCACGGGGAATTAAAGTTTAAAACTCCTCTTCTCAAATATGTGCTCCTGGTAAAATCTATAGTCCTTTGGCCTATAATGAAATAAAGTAAGGAACAAAAACTAGACAAAATTACCATTGGTACTCTCTCATGTTTATTTACCAGCCCTTCCTTATTTCCTTTCCTTTCATCCTGAATTAATAGAGAATTCTTTCCCATGAGTTGGTCATGATTCTTTTGCTAATGCAATCAAAAGTTGCAATAGTTTCTTTTGCAATCAGTTAAAAAACAAACCAACCTGATTTTTTTTTCCTGCTATAAATCTAATTTGGGAAACCATTTCCCTGCATTCCCTATTATATTAGAAGTTTTAATAAAGGAAAATTTGTGGCATTTTGTCCAAGTACCTTAAACAAATACCCTTCTAACTGTCCTTTTTTTTGGCGTGTTGCATTTTGCTTATTAACATGCTACAGTTTGGGTTAATGTGATGGGAAAAGTGAAATAATTATAGTATTTTAACTATACATTAAAATTTTCCTTTCTAATCAGCCCATGACAATTCCCAGTGCCAGTTTTTTTAGCGATGACAGCATTTCCTTTGTGTTCAATGCTGCAATCTTCCCCTTCACTCCCTGATCCCTCCCCATAATTTTACAGCCTATGTGTGTTCCTGTAGAGTGCTGAGCATTACTTTCCTTTCCTGGATATTTAATATTTTATCGGGTATATGTCATAAAATTCTCTGGCCCACTTGGTGGAATTGTACAGACCAACATGGTGAAGGTAAAGATAAATTGGTAAATGGCTATGTTTGTTTGCCCATAGAAAAGAATATTTGTAGGTCAGGGTTGAGATGAGGTGGTCTTTGGTGGTTTCTGAGGTTGATTTTTTTCTTGCAGATGTTTTACTACCCAAACTAGGTAATATCATCAGTGTTGATCTAGTTTGGTTAATGACATGTCTACAAGAAAACAATCAAGCTCAGAGACCACCAAGGACTCCCCTATGTCTGTTTGTTCAACATTACTAGTTAATTCAAACATAAATGCTGGCATTTATTTATTTATTTATTTATTTATTTATTTATTTATTTATTTATTTATTTATTTATTTATTTGATTGATTGATTGATTGATTGATTGATTGATTTCTATAGCTGGCCATCTCAGTAAATGACTCTGGATGGCTTACAATTCAATTTCCTTTCTTTAGGACAATGATAAATTTATTCAGAGATCCATATTGGTCACACAAGAATCTAGAAGGCATGATCATGGATGTTCGGAAACAAGTGATGAAGAATAAACTGTGCTGTTTTAGTGTAGACAACTTGAAATATTATGAGAAGGAAATATGGAACAGACATGATGAAGGTCACAAGCTGACATTTGCAGATCTCTGGGGTCTAATTCTTGAATCTATGTTTCACGATAAGGTACTATATTCATATGTTTCCCTTTAAAATGTAAGGAAACCATGGAAAAATATAGGGAATGACCTTTGCTACTGTTTCTTAATTATAGGAATTATCTGCCTCAAAACAGGTAAAATATCAATTGCTAATATACTGATTTGTTTGTCCATTCCACACATCCATTATCACCTAGTAGCAAATATCTGTGATAGACTAAGTAAGAAGACTTGAATAGTTATCTGGAGCCCCCAGAAATGTCCTATTTCACAGAAGACAAACCTATGATGTTTTGTGAAAACAGAATTACACCAGGAGGTACTAATAGACATTCTATTCTCATATTAAAACATTTTTAAAAAATACATGCACAGCATTGTCCATACCAACCTAGTGAAAAGATAGGATATAACACAATTACAACTAAGAATTATTTTTGGATATAAAGGAATAAGCATGAGTTCAGCTTTGTTGCTTTCTGTATCTTGAATCACATGGACAAGAAATACCTGTTGGGATGATAGATCTGTATCTTGAATCATATGTACAAGAAATACCTGTTGGATGATAGAGTACAAATGGAATAAGTAATAATCTTCAGAAACTTATAACCAAGTTTCAGTTCAGTTCTTTTAATACAATTCATTCCTCATACAACATCAGATGTGCTGAGTGTTAGACTATTGAATTGTACATATACAGGTAGTCCTTGACTTATGACCACAACTGAGCCCTAATTTCTGTTGTTAAGTGAGACATTTGTTAAGTGAGTCCTGTCTCATTTTACAACTTTTCTTGCTACAGTTGTTCATTTTTTTTGTTTTTATTTATTTGTTAAGTTTGTTTGTGGCCCATCTCACCCATTCATTGCAAATTGTCCATTAGAATATGAAACAAGTGTGTTTATCTGAATTTCTGATTAAAGTATTTCAGTATCTGGATGATTGTTTCCACATACAAGTATACAAGTATGATCTGGAAAAGAATTGGACAGAAATGATAGCAATATTTGTTTTTTTCTGTCTTTTGCTCTTCTACTAAGTTCTGTTTTTCTTGCACAGCCAGATCCACATAAGCTCTCAGATCAACGACAGGCAATAAATCTAGGTCAAAACCCTCTTCCTATCTACCTTGCTCTTAATGTCAAGAAAAGATATAGCACTTTAGATTTTAAAGGTAAGATACTATTTTCAAAATATGAGTTTAATTTGAAGACTAAATGCCAGGTGCTAAACGTCCATAAAGTTTTATAGGCCAAAAAAAGAAAAATTGTACTGGTTTGCTGTTGACTGCTGCAAGCTGATTTTTTCAATTTATAATCTAGCCTACAGTATTCCCTGATATCTGTCTCTCATATGGGTATGAATGACACTGCTTAGCCGGACAGGAACATCTAAGTGCTCTTATCTTCTGAGGCTAATTTGATTCAGGAATTCTCAAAAATAGCATGCATAAATATAAGCCCATGGCTTTTATATCAAAGTTCTACATAAAACATCATCTATTAAGTAGTGTTAATAAGTTTTTTTAGTTGTGCTAATTAAGACAAAATTAAAACATGCTTAGAAAGTGTAGCCCAAATTAGACATTTTGGGAAAACCATTTGTAAAATCTTTGTATCTTAGTTTCAATGCACATTCAAATTATATATCAACTTGCTCAGAGCTTCAGAACGTCAAGAATAAACTACACATTGAATTTAAAGCAGATTATCCAATTATGACAGATTGTAGTGAGCTTTGCTAGAAAATTAAAGATAGTTCCATTTATTTGGATGGGTTGGAGAATAATGAAGAATAATAAATCTGATACATAATAATGTAATTGGTGAATGAATAGCATACAGAAAAGCCTAGACCAATGGAGGCAATTTTAGTCTTATACATAGATAATGTGTGTAAGATAATGGCAAAGCCTTGGGCTGAATTCTGTATAGACCTTTGCTTCATGGAAATCTGGCTTAGAATCCAGGCTAGAGAATCATGCATATATTCTGTATGAATATACTTTTGTGACTGTTTGTTTCTCACTGAACTGACTTTATCAGCAGCGATAGCCTGAAAAGGAATTGTATCTGTGTGATCTTATGTTGCATAACTGTAATTTTCCTCTACAAGTATACATAACCAAAATTTTAACACTGTTGATTATTAGTTTATATATACATATGTGCCTGTCTGTGTTTATGCCTCTGTGTATTTGTACTATATCTGCAGAATGGGTGGAATTCACCCCCTATGAAGTGGGCTTCTTGAAATATGGAGCATTTATTAACGCAGAAGATTTTGGAAGTGAGTTCTACATGGGTCACATGATGAAGAAGATTCCAGAATCTCGGCTTTGTTTTATGCAAGGTAATTTAGCTAAACAAATAAATTAGATTCTTGGCTTTCATATGGCATGTATGTACTATTTATCCAATTTTTATACATTTTAGATATACATATCAACACAAACTGCTTATGTGATTTTTAAAATTATTATATTAGTTACTGACCAGTAGGAGGCAGTACAAAACCTGCTACTGACCAGTAGCTAATATACTGTATTTTTCAGAGTGTAAGATGCACCAGACTATAAGACACCTACATTTTTTGGTGAGGAAATCAAGAAAAAGAAATTTGCCTTGTTGCAGCAAACAGCAAACAGCCTGCTTTACTTTCATTTTCAGCATAGCTTGATTAGCACAAGGAAAAAAAAATCTGCTCCAGCAATTTACCTCCTTGCAGCAAGCAGCAGAGGCCTGCGCAAAACAGCTGAGAGTCGGGAGACCGAACCAATCAACTTGTGCTAATTAGGCTGTGATGAAGCTGAAAGGAGTTGTTTCTTCTTGCTGCTTGCTGCAAGGAGGAAACTGCTGGGAGGCAGAGGCCAAAGGGGTGGGCGGGGCTACATTCGGTGTATAAGACGCACCTAAATTTTCATCCCCTTTAAGGGGGAAAAAGGTGTGTCTTATACTCCGAAAAATACGGTAACTCTTAATAGCTAATATCTATATAAGTTTTAAAGGGAGATGTTTTGAGACCTCTAGCATGAGGTCCAGACCAACAAATATATAAAAAACCTCCCTCCCTAGTATGGGAGCATATACTGTAGAAAAAAGAAGGGATATGAATAGTTTCTATACTTTTTGATATGATTTCCATCTTAGTGTAATGGGGATGGTACATACTTAAAAAAATCTACTAAATTCTTGTTAAATATTCTTTGTTTCCCAGGTATGTGGAGTAATATCTATTCCCAGAATCTGCTTGATGCCTTATATTTAGCAGAACATTCAGAAGACTTCTGGCACAGATGGACAAGACCTAGAATGTATGAAATTGGTTAGTAGACTGTTGTTTCTCTTTTGATTAATTTGTCCAGAAAATGCTTCTCTTTGCTGTGCCTTATGGATATGATTTGATGTGCCATTAATTAGTTGGTTAGTTAGTTAATTAGGAAATGGAAAGCTTGGGGATCTGTGCCTACTTATCTTCCTTGGATAGACCTATCAACTCTTGGAGTTCAATATTGATCCCTTTGGAGAATCCTTCTCTAGATGAACTGAAGTCCATATTTCCAATTAAAATGTAGTTTTTGTCCTGGGCCCATTACCGAATTTGAGGAATGTGATCCCTGGGTCATTTCTTAAAAGCCAATTCCAATCACTTCTATAACTCTTACCTGGGAAATGTAATATAGACATGGCAACAATGTGGTAAAGTATAAAAATATAAGAATATTGTGGAAATGATTATTTTTCAACAAAATCAAAATTTGGTAAAATTGCAGGTACTGAATTTGCCCTTTTAAGTAACATTCAATTTTATTTGACATTTATCTTTGCAAACTGCAAATAACCTCTTAAATTGTCTTGTTTTGACTCTTTCAAGAACACAGCTGGTTTTGCAGGACTGAATCTGGGCCAGTCACCAGAACCAGAGGTTTCATCTACCAAGCTTTTGGACTCCTGCTGGAGCCCATGCTCAGGGAACTTCTTTCTCACTAGATGTATTGCCTCTCTGAATGGGCTGTTTGAATGATGGATCTAAATAAAGTTTTCTCTGTTTTACAGAAGAAGATATTCCCCCTTGGTTGCCCAAGAGACCATATGTGCAGCCAACACGTCTTTTCATCCCTAATGGTTCTGTGTCAGATGTGATTAGAGATGTTATAACTATGCGTCCAGTTGTTGCATCCTATTCCAATTTTATTAAAGGTCTGCAGTTCAACGACAAATACTTGGAGAACAACAATTTTTCTATGTGGAAGGGTAATATAAACAAAATTTCTTTTTTCAGATATAGGGAAATTCTCAAGCTCCATGACATGAATTTGTCATCTTTTCTTACATTACCATCCCTGACATAATATATTTCTGGATTAAGTCATTAGACTATTCTAGGAATGAGAGATATATAGAGATTGCTGAATCTGTTTTGAGGGTCATATTTGATGCTTTGAAAATTTTGAGTCTCCATCCAGGTGATACTGGAGATAGTCTATCCCAGCTTGTTTGTGGTTCTGAAATATACGGTAGTTGATAAGCACATATTTCTTAGAATTTATTTATTTATTATTTATTTATTGGTTCAATTTATATGCCACCCTTTTCTGGAGACTCAGGGCGACTTACAATGCATTAAGCAATAGCCTTCATACTTTTGTATATACCTGCTTAGTAGGGCTTTTGCACCCCCCAAGCGGTGTTCTTTTTTATACAAAGTCAGCCTATTGCCCCCACAAACCGGGTCCTCATTTTACCTACCTCGAAAGGATGGAAGGGTGAGTCAACCTTGAGCCTGGTGAGATTTGAACTTGCAGTAATTGCAGGCAGCTGGTGTTACTTAACAGTGCTTTACTCTGCTGCACCACCAAGGCTCTTTTGACTAAAAAAACACACTTGTTCAGACCATTTCCCCCAAATTCTTTGCAGGTAAAACTTTCTGAGGATCATTTGCATTCTTTTTGCTTTCATTATTTATAAACCTCTTTTACAACAGGGATTGAAAACCTGTGACTTTCCAGTTGTTGTTGGAAGTCCTAACAGCAGGTCAAGGGAGCCAAAGATCACTCTAAAATTTTGAGTACGGTAAATATGCATTTTGTCTTTCAGATACTGTACTGGATTGTAACCCCAATCACCTGACTGAGTCTGAAGAATATTTGGAGCTTGTAGACACAGCTTTCTTTATCAATACCAGCTGCCCACCTCTTTTAAGACCAGAAAGACAAGTAGACATTATTATACATTTAAATTACAGTGGAGGAGCACAGGAATTGGTGAGAAACTTTTTTATTCTCTTTAATCACTGGCCTCTTCATTCATGTTTCTTCACCTCTTATAAAGCAATAGTGCTAGAAAGATTTCTAAGATCCCTTCCAACTTTTTTATTCTGTATTTCTGTACTTCTGCCAGGTATGATGTGCCTATGTTATTCCCGACAGTTGCCTGTCTATAGTTTCTTTAGAATATCTAGCCTTTGTGAAATAAAAAAAATGCATTTATATCTCTTGGGTCTTGATTACTCTTGTGTTTAATGCTTTAGCCACTGGATTTAAGCACAAGGTACTATCACCATCAGGGCATCCCATTCCCTAAAACTGTTCTGACAGAAGAAGACAGAAAGCATCTCAAGGAATGTTATCTCTTTGACGATGCAGAAAGTCCAAAGGCTCCTATATTGCTGTATTTTCCATTGGTGTGCGACAGCTTCCAAAAATACAAGGCACCTGGTAAGTTACAAAGGCTACTTGGGGACAGTGGTGGGATTCAGCCAGTTCACACCACTTTGGGAGAACCGGTTGTTAACGTTCTGAACAGTTTGGCAAACTGGTTGTTGGAAAAAATAATTAGGGCAGAGAACCGGTTGTTAAATTACTTGAATCCCACCACTGCTTGGGGATCACTTTGCTTTCCTACCTGCTGATCTTATTTCCTATATATGTTTCTCATGTATGCGCATCCTAAAGGAATTGACAGTAATTTTTAAGCATTGGTATAAAATGAATGTCTTTATTTAGCGTATGGCATATCATACATGGAGTAACAATATATATTAACATTTCACCTAATTCCATAGAAAAAAATTAAATATAAATGTCAAAAAGGTCTATGTTCAAATATAAAATAAAGATCAATATTAGTTGTAGACTTACTAATACTAGTACTACTAGAGCCGTAGTGGCACAGTGGTTAGAATGCAGTACTGCAGCCTAACTCACCGCTCACTCCAAGAGTTCGATTCTGAGTGGCTCAGGGTTGACTCAGCCTTCCATCCTTCTGAAGTTAGTAAAATGAGGACCCAGATTGTTGGGGGCAATACGCTGACTCTGTAAACTGCTTAGAGAGGGCTGTAAAGCACTATGAAGTAGTATATAAGTGCTATTGCTATCAATACTAATGAGAATTTCTTGCTGGAAAAAAGACAATTTAGAAAGGATGAGTTTTTAGCAAACTCTTAACACTTGACAGCATTAAGGTCTAGTATTCCAGAGAAAATGAATTAGATGCAACATTCCTTTCTTCTGAATTTATTTTCAATGCTTCATACAATGAACAATTTTGGATCACTACTGTGTATTAAATCTATTTGCTATCATCCTCTCTTCTTTTGTTTCTGCAGGTCAATCTGTAATGACACTGTACATGGTTGAGAATAAAATATTAATGTTAGTCTTAAACTAAACAACTTTCTCTCATATCTCAATAATCTTAGATTTCAATTCCTGTGTTATTAGTACTGATAAAAGAAATATAATATAATTATGATGATTTCAACTAAGATAATTTCATATTATTATAGGTATCCTTTGTTTCTCACCAGCATGGAACAATTTAGGAACAAAGGGAGATGCTCCATTCTCCTCCTCCTTGACTGTTGTTACTAATGAAGCTTGTATTATATATTGATGCAAATATGAGTTAGATGCAACATTCCTTTCTTCAGATCTTATTTTCAATGCTTCATAAATTGAACCATTTTAGATTACAACTGTTTATTAAATCTGTTTGCTATCTTCCTTCCTTCCTTCCTTCCTTCCTTCCTTCCTTCCTTCCTTCCTTCCTTCCTTCCTTCCTCTCCCTCCCTCCCTCCCTCCCTCCCTCCCTCCCTTTTGTTTCTCCAGGTGTGGAACGTAGTCCAAATGAGATGGACGATGGCTATGCTGATGTCACTAGCACTATTTTTTCTCCATATGCTACTGGCATTCTGCAATACTCAGAGGAGGACTTCAATAAGCTGATAAATTTGACCAGCTATAATATTCTGAACAATGAACATATGATTCTTCAGGCTTTACGGACAGCAGTTGAAAGAAAAAAGCAGCAGAATTTCCATTCCTCTTTTTAATCCTTTCCAATGCTTTCTCCATATTTTCTAACCTGGGAAGCTAACAGGTTTACTTCATTTGTGCTACTGGCCAGTAATAAACACATGGGAAATAGGATAGGCGTCAGATTTAGAAAAATCAATTTGGAACAGAATTTAAAGCTATCTGAAATGAAGGAGGGCTTACTGAAATAAATTAAATCTATTTGTTGTGATCAATGCATTTATTTGGCATGTCCCCCACTTTTGGCATGTCAAAAGTGCTTTATCTTTGTTCATTTGCAATAATGAGGAAGAGGTATATTGAGAGTGAGTGCTCGGAAAGTATGTATTCAAAACGTGCTTTACAAATGGAATTAGAATAAAAAAATAACTTCTAGTCCAGCATATTATAAGATTTATTGAAGTACAATCATTAAATGGCAAAGGATTCTGAAGTTTGGGACTTAGTTTATAAATTTGAAGGTGGCTGTATTAAGTGATTTATGTATCAGATATGCATGTATGCATAAGATACACATTACAAATCAAACATAGACTTTAAAAATCAAAATAATAATTTTGCAAGTCTTCACCTGAATCCCAGCTGTGAATTTCTGATATTTTTATTTCCATCCTTGCACAGGATAGGCTGGAATAGTTATGAGGCAGGGGTCATTCTGTCCAAAATATCCACCACCAGAAATCCTGTTTTTTCCAACAATTTTTGAGACGTCTGAGTATCCCAAAGATGTTTTTCCAAAAGGCAACTGGACTTTCTTGTGTTTTTTTCCCCTTTGAAAACATTTTGCTTCTCATCCATCTTCTCCAATATTCCACTCATCAGCATCTACGCAAACCACAGATAAACACTAGCCAAGAGTGGAATCATGGAATTATCTGTGGTTTGCGTAGATGCTGATGAGTGGAATATTGGAGAAGATTTGTATAACCCCTTGAATATTACTTTATTTTCAAAAACAGTTTAAATGTTCCATGTAACCATTAAAAACAACAACCCAGAATAATGTTTGATTTTCAAATGTTACAAAGTGACTGTGCATATTAGGAGCTTAGTTGATTTTCAGAATAGTTTCCTGTCTCATTTTAAGTGTTGGCATTAACTTGTAAAGACGTTCTTGGTTGGGGCTACAGATTCTGAAGGAAGAGTTTATGTCAAGAGAAGTGACTGTGTAAATACCTCAATGGGGGATTGCCTGGTCCAAGATTAACCCATCCCCAGTGAGATATTCCTAGCACTGACTGAATTTTATTTTCAATGCCAGGCAAATAACTTTTTATCCTCCCAACACTTTTAATCAATTCATGTATTAACCTCAAATAAGTGTTAAAAAATCTGCTGCTTATAAACTCCTCAGGTTCCTCCATTTATTGTTTTACCATTGGTGTGTCATATCTCTTAATTATGATATTGTTTGATAACTTGTTCAGAATTTCATTAGATGTTGTTAATATGTTGTAAATCATTCTGGGAAAACCTCATTTTGTAGGACACACTACAAATCTTAAAAATGAAAATGAAATAAATCTGCTTTATGAGCTGTGGTGGCGCATTGGTTAGAGTGCAGTATTGCAAGCTATTTCTGCTGACTGCCAGTTGCCTTCAATTTGGCAGTTCGAATCTCACTAGGCTCAAGGTTGACTCAGCCTTCCATCCTTCCGAGGTGGGTAAAATGAGGACCCAGAGTGTTGGGGGCAATATGCTGACTCTGTAAACCACTTAGAGAGGGCTGTAAAGCACTGTGAAGCGGTATATAAGTCTAAGTGCTATTGCTATTGCTATTATTCAGATTAGGATTCCTGCTTATACAAAGCAGTGTTTTATCATCAACATCTTATTGTTCTCCCATACTAATAATGGAAATGCATTCAGTTCCATAGATTGACTGATTGATTGTGGGGGGCATGAAATTCATAAAGCTGTACAAAACAAAAACAAAAACAAAAAAAACCATGTATATGGGACTCAGCTGACTTTACTTGAAAAAGCTAAACTGGTTCTGGCTTAATTAGTGCGCAGATAGAGGAACAATCTGGGAAGGCCAGAACTAGACAGAGAAGTTAAAAATGCTTCTTGGAAACAGCAATGCGAGCCAGTTCCATAATGAGTCAGCCAGCAAGTTGTTTGTTGCCTCAAAGACAACCTTACATACACTTTTTAACACTTTCAACAGAACAGGTTTTGATCACTTATCACTATCTCACAGAGAGATTTATAACCAAGTATATGATGAACATTTTGGTCAATCTACACAATAATCCAGTGACGGGTATAGTAGTGGATGCAAAAGGAATTTTGCAAGATTTTTTTTTCCTGTACCATTTTGTTATTTGTTAACTGGAAGATTGATTTTCCAGACAGTGGAATAGCTGTAAAATATGCATGAAGACCCACCAAAGCCAGTCACAGCAAAAAGAGCAAAAGTCCTAATCAAAACTCATTTATCACAGTTTTCTGGTCATAAAAAGGCCACTTTTTATTCACTACAGATGGGCAATTTTGATAAGGAATTGCCAGTTAGGGCTCAGGGAAAGAAGACTCCCAAAATGCCAAATATTGCTTTAGTTCCAGTTGCTTGCTTGGATCTACCCAATTAAGGTTTGAGAATCACATGTGTGTTAGAGGAGATTCTGTGTTTTGTACACATTATGGACTATTCTGGAGGTATGCTGTTTATCGATATTTGAATGAATCATTTTCAACAGAGTGAAAGGAAAAGAGTTTTCTAGGAATCTGATAAAAATATACATTATTTTGTATATGATTCCCATTTTTTCTTTTTATTAAGATTTTTTATTACATATGAGGTTTATATGAGGTTTGATTATTCAATCAAAACAAATGACTTATTAAAACTATATATCAGATTTTATAGCTTCTTTTTTCTTTACATCATTGTTTTTTTAAATAATGCAAAAAAGGGGAACTCTTACAGACCATGTGCCACAGAATAGAGTTTTCGTAGCACTTCGAATACCCCAAATATGAAACTTTTAAAGACTTCCCAAATAGAAAGTGAAATTTGAGGCAATATGCCTTTTACATATTTCTCTGATTACTATAAGTTGCATCATTCAATATGTCTCATATCAGTAATTTGGTGAGCAAGTGTTAATATGTCTAAAAATAATAAGCGAATTCCTCTTAAAATAATTCCCACTCCAGCTATTTCCTCCCCCACCCAGCAAATCTCTGGGAGAGGAAAACAGAATGAAAGGCAAATTCAAACAGAGTATTGAGCTAATTCCTATTCTGTTTTTTGTTAATTCAAAGTAGCAGTGGCAATATACGGTAGATGGCATGATAAATATTGCAATGGAATTGTGCTTTTCATTTTGCTTGTATCTTTTCCACTAATAAAAACAAGCAGAATTTGCAGGTGTGTATATATTTAGAATTTTATATAAGAATATCATCTCAAAATGGTTGCAAAGGTCTAAATATATAACATGAAAAAGCCAGGTCAACTATACTTTGAATATACAAATTCTATGAAATTACACATATGCAAATTACAGCCATTTTTCCAATCCATAGTTATAATTGTAATAAATTGTTTTATTTCCCCATTTGTAAAGTACAAACCATTCCAATGCTCTGTCTTTAAACTACTTTGAATTCCCTCTGCCTGTAATAATTTAAATAGGCAATTGATTGAAAACAGGAAGGTACAATCCATGGTTTGCATCCAGCTCCCAGAGAAGCCTGGGAAGGCCCCTATGTTTTTCCCAGATGGTGCCCTCCCCCCATTTCCATTCCATCATGGTGTTGCCAATGCTATACTTTCTTGTCCCTTTCTTCTTTCTTTTCCTTTTCCTGCTTAATCCACAATTCCATCTTGTTGGAATACAATGTTTATGTATTTTGTACAACAACTACAGCAATAGCCAGTAGGTGGCAGTGTTTATAGGTTTGTAGTTGTATCTAAGGTATATTCTATGTTTCCTGCTTCCTTTCTGCAGTTAAGCAGAAAAGCACATATGGACTGTGCACTGTTTGATCTATATATAGAATTCTATATATAGAATTTCTAACACATCTCACTGCTGTCTTGTTATTCTCCCCATGAAGAAGCAGAAGTTGTATTGTTTTAGCCTCTTTCACTGGGAGGAATGGAGGAACAACAGTTGGATAATCAGTTAACTGATGTACTTCCAGGGATTCTCTGAAGCTTTAGAGAGATGAAGGGGCTAAAAGGTATGAGGTAGAGTTCCAGGAGATGCCCTGTTGTTGATATTTGAACAAGGTCCCCACCCCACCCCACATTTCTTATGTAATAATAGTGTAGTCAGACAGCCGATATCTGATAAATTTCTCTCTCTCCTGCACCTAAATCTCCTTCCATTTCAAAATATTTGGAGAGTACTATCATGTCATTTAGAAATGATTCACACAGATATGTGCACTGCTTGATGACTGAAACATTAAGCAATAGACCGCATTGTGCTACTATTGTTGGAAACACCCAGCCAGGCAGGAGGAAGAATCAAGCAGGGAATCAGCCTTGAATCATTGCACAGCTGCAAGAGATCCAGGACTGATCCCTTCCCCTCCCCAACTCTAGATAGAACCTTATCTATCTGTTACCAAAGGAAGGCAAGAAGTCTTAAGAAGGTTTTTGTATTGCGGGCAAAATACAACAATTAGCTTGAACTCTACACATGTAGATCTGGTTGCTTGCGCCTGACATTCACAGATAAAATACTTGTTCCATCCTTGTCATCCTACCCACAATGTCTTCCCATTACGTTTATTCACATTTCAATCTATATAGCAGTCATTAAGCATTTAAGTAAGCAACTGATGAGAAATAATGATGCACATTATAAATCAACACAGTAATTATAACTGTTAAGGATTATAATCCGGAAAGGCTTCTGCTATAACACATATATTAATAATTATGTATTGTAAGCCTATTTCCCCCCCTGTAATAGATTATTGGAGTGTTCTTTCTTTTCTGAAAATTACAATGAATTTTTGCAAGCCTGAACTCCTTTCTTTGTATATTTTGTTGCTTTGTTTAGGGATTGTCAGGTGTGAACAACCAGGCCCAAATATTGAAGCTAACTACTGTATTATATTCTGCCTATAATACAGGAATCTCCTCAGTCCGGCAGCTAATTTTGGGAACAATTAGATTAGATTCCAAGGAACCTGGAGAGAGCATTCAGTCTCAGCCCTTTTGCAGTTATGCAGTGACTCCAGGCTAACTCCACACTTGATTCTTCCTCCCTGCCAGGCTGGGTGTTTCCCAACAGGGATGGCAAAATGTAGAGGGCCTTTTTACCTATTTGTGGGGTAAGGTAAGAGTTGAATCTTGAATGTTTTGAGAAGGTCATGGATTAATTGATAATGTGCCTTCAAGATAATGTGCCACCAATAGCCTCCCACTGGCCAGTACGCTCTCATAGAGAGGGGCTCCTCCAGGTGCCGTCGGCCAAACAATGTCGACTGGCGGCCCCCAGGGGGAGAGCCTTTTCTGTGGGGGCACTTACTATCTGGAATGAGCTCCGCCTGGAGATATGGAGGATCCCGGATCTGCGCACCTTCCGTCGCGCTCTCAAGACTTTTTTATTCCATCAAGCCGGCCTGGCCTAAATCTTTTCCCCTTTAAAATGTAAATTTTAATTTGTTTTTAAAATTATTGGATGTTTTTAATTTGTCTCGGCCAA